CTCAAGTGGATTCTGAACAGTTCTTGCTTAGGGATTAACACTAGAGCCACAAAGAGGACACCCAGTTCTCTAGACTTTCATTCTGGTCTAAGAGGAACAAAGAGAAAGGCACAGGATCCTCCTTCCTCCCGTCTTCATGTTCCTTTTAGAAGAACTTCTAAAACATTCACATCAAAGGTTGTTAAAAGCTAGCCTGTTGAAGTGCCTCATCCTTAGGGGAGGAAACTGAGGCTCATGGAGAGTGTTATGGCTGTCTCTTGAGGAACAAACTACAGGGTTCATATGTGAGAGATCTGTGGGGGGTGGACCCCCACAGCTGAGGCCCTCCACCCTGCTGGCTCCACAGAGGACAAGGAAAGCAATTTGGTCACTAAACCCATCAGAACAAATAACTCTCCTACCTTCTTCTCTCTACTCAGCTTCTTGGTACCACTTGCTAATTTGTGGGGAATGCAATTTTAATAAACAAGTTGGAGTATACTTTTACTTGTCACAGTGTGATCAAAACTATGTTTCAAATGCTTCAAGCTGGGCACTGGTGACTCACACCTGTAATCCTAGCTATTCAGGAGGCTAAGATCTGTAGGTTGAAGCCAGCATGGGCAGAAAAGTCTTGAGACTTTTGCCTCTAATTAACCAGAAAAAACCTAAAGTAGAGGACTGGTAGAGTGTCATCTTTGAGCAAAAAGTCAAGACAGAGTGTGAGGCCCTGAGTTCAAGCCTTAGTAACAGCACAAGCGTGCATGCATGCATCCCCCCAACACCCCCACACACATACAAATATGCATATCTTCAGACTCTCAGATTTTTTTTTCCTTTTCAGAAAATATACTCTATTATCTTTCCCTTCCTGCTCAGAGGATCTCTACAGCAGATGGGATTTCTTTTTGCCTGAGGGTCGGGCCAAGAATTGGGAGCAGAGGCTGACCAGGCATCATGAGGAGGCAGGAATAGTTCAAGCCCATTAGCATCCACTCTCTTCATCAACCTTATGACCAAAAATGGATTTGTGGTATAGGTAGTCAAAGAAAGCAACATTGTCTGGACCTCTATAGAGAAACAGGACCAAGATCTGGCCCAAAGGGATGAAAGAAAAAACTGGATAACATCTTTGAGAAAATCTTTAAAAAGTGATTGTTTCAGTTGGGCACTTGTAATCAGCTTGTAATCCGAGCTACTTGAGAGGCTGAGAATGGGAGTATCATAGCTCAAGAAGAGACTGGACAGAACAGTTAGTGAGACTCCTCAAACCGTAGCTGGGTGCAGTAATGCCCCTGTCATCCCAAGTTATGTGGGAGGCTGAGAAGAGTCCCCAAGATTCTGTGTTCACAGAGGGAAGGTGGTCATGGTGTCAAGCATCTGTGAGCCTAGTAACAGACAACAGGAAACCTAAAGTAGGTAGACTGTATCTCAGGTACATACTGAATGAGAAGCAAGACCCTGTCCAAAAAATAATTAGTGAAAAGTAAGGCTAGGGGCTCAGTAGTATTGTGATAGTTTAGCAAGTATAAAGCCCTGAGTTCAAGTCCCCTGTGTCACCCAAATAAACAAACAAATAAAAGTTTCTTTCTGACCTCCTTTTTCCTTGCTTACTGATATAGAAGTCCCAAACTGAGACTGGAACAGTAGAATAACTGGAGGAGTTTGTACATAAAGATTCAAACTCCTTCTTTGAGTCTTTTTCCTTTTTTACTTCTACCATTAAAAAAAAGTCTGCTTGTTTAATCACTATTTGTAGTTAAACATATTTCCTAACTGCAAACACACACACACACACACACACACACACACACACACACACACACACACACACACACACACACACACACACTCTACATGGTCACCCAGAGGGCCCATCATTGAGGAGTAAGAATAAGTTTCAGGAGTTGTAACCACAGAATACTTCAAGTGAAAAACAGAGCACTAACACAGCATCAATCCAGCTGCACTGAGACAAATTCCAACTTAGAGGCTGCAATTAAAAGAACAGAAAAGACAACATCCCAAACCAAATTACCAGTTTTGCTGCCTGGAGAGGTGTTTTGTTGTGACCCAGAGGACTGATTTGAGAGCTATACAAATTGAGCAAAGAGTATTTTAGGGAAAAAATCATTCTTGAAGGAACGTAGCCTCCGGGCCATACTGAGTGGAATGAAAATGGAGGCCCAGAGTGGGAAAGTTCAAGAGGCTCACTCTGGTTTTCCAATCTCATGGGCCTGAGGGAAGAAGAGCAAGCCATGGGAGCTCTTTCCTCACTATCACTAATGGTTCCTAATAATGAAGAGGGCAATATTGGGCCTCTAGTTGGCTGAGAGGATCAGAAATTGCTCAGTGCCGTCAAACTAATAACTTAATATAATTGGACACTAAATTACAATGCTAGATACACAGCCTCCCCCACAGCCTCTAATTGCCAAGGAAAATCAAGCTGGAACTTCAATAAATAGAATAATCCAATTAAGTATCTCTCCTATTGGGAACTATTTAGAATTGAGGGTTTAACAGGATAGTGAGATAGGGCAGAAGAGACCAGTATTAAGGCTTTTATTGTAAGACTTTTTTAAATTGTAAAATGTGTTCAATCTATCTAAATGGCTGAGTCTTGATGTCATGATTTGAACCACCATAAATTTTTCTTCTACATGTGCTATCATTGCTCACAAATTCTTTTACTTGTATTTTAAACTAAATATAAGCACCTTTTGTTTAAAATGTCTTCAAAAACAAACCCAAAGACCAATGGAATAGAATAGAAGATCCAGAAATAAAACCACATGCCTATAGTCAGCCAATATTTGACCAAGGAGCCAAAGACACACAGTGGAAGAAACATAGCCTCTTCAACTGCTGGGAAAACTGGGAGGCCACATGCAGAAAACTATCACCATGCACCAACAGCAACTCAAAATGGATTAAAGACCTTAACATCAAACCTGAATCTCTGAAACTACTTCAGGACAGAGTAGGAGAGACACTTGAACTTACAGGCACAGGCAGGAACTTCCTGAACAGAGTTCCAGGGTCACAACAAATTGGAAAGAGACTTGACAAAGGGACTACCTTAAAATAAAAAGTTTCTGCACAGCCATAGCTATAGCAACCAAGCTAGAAAGACAACCAACTGGGAAAAATATTTACCAGCAATATATCAGACAAGGGGTTAATATCCAGTATATACAGGGAACTCAAGAAACTAATCCCTCCCAAACCTAACAAACCAATTACTAAATGGGCAAGGGAACTAAAGAGAGACTTCTCAGAAGAAGAGATAAAAATGGCAAAGAAACACATGAGGAAACGTTCACCATCCCCGGCTGTGAAGGAAATGCAAATAAAGACAATCCTGAGATACCACCTTACCCCAGTCAGAATGTCCCACATCCACAAATCAGCCAACGACAAATGCTGGAGGGGATGTGGAGAAAGAGGAACCCTATTACACTGCTGGTGGGAATGTACACTTATACAACAACTTTGGAAAGCAGTCTGGAGGGTCCTTAGAAAGCTAAAGATTGACCTCCCTTATGACCCAGTCATACCACTTCTAGGCATCTACTCTGAACAACAGGAACCAATATACAAGGACACGTGCACCTCCATGTTTATTGCAGCACTGTTCACAATAGCCAGGATATGGAAACAACCCAGATGTCCCACCACAGATGAATGGATCCAAAAATTGTGGTATCTATACACAATGGAATATTATGCAGCCATTAGAAAGGACAAAATAATGGCATTTGCAGGGAAATGGATGGAGCTAGAAGAAATCATGTTGAGCGAGGTAAGCCAAGAACAAAGAGACAAATGGCACATGGTCTCCCTGATAAGTGGATGTTAAATCCAAAATGTAAGGTGATATGACAAATTAACAAGACTTAAGAAACAAAGGACTTCCACTCATCTGGTCGAATCACTACTAAATAACACCATGCTGCTGATCCCATATATGGTATATATGTGCACACCAGAGGGAAACCAGGAGGACGACACAGAACTAGAGGGAATCAGGGAAAAACATAACAGCGGGACCCATCAGCTGCACTGGACATTGACCAAAATGAACTAAGCAACTTAATGGCAGTGATGGGAGGGAGGGAACAAGTGGGAAAGAGGGAACAGCTGATGCTATGCAAAACAAAAGAAATGTACATATCACCCAATGTGGAAGAAATAACTGTATTGCAAAGCTCATAGAATCCATAAATGTTAGAGACCACGATAGACAATTTGCCCCATGAAAGTTAGAATGTATTTGTGACTTTAACTAAGCATCACTATCCCAAAATACTGTGAAATTTGGGAAATTATGTAATCACTTAATCACAATAAAGAATTTGAAAAACAAACAAACAAACCACCCCCCAAAATCCTAGTCATCTTTTTACCATATGGAATGATCACCTAGAAGCCAGAAATTGAACTACCGAAAAATGGACTGATAAAAATGCCTGCCATTCCTTTTAACTACCTTGAGGTAGAGAGATGATAGATAAACTGCCCAATTACAACTTAGCGTGGACTGTTAAATATACATTTTTGAGGGGTTTGGTTGGAAATGGATAGTCCCTCTATTTGTCTGTAAAGGCAACAGTTGAGGGAAGAAATTTGCCATGAGTTAAGTTGGAGCAACCCCACCATAGCAAGAACTGGGCACCAAGCTTTCTGTTAGTCTGCAGGCAGCATTGGACAGGCATTGTTCTGCAAATGAGTTAGTGGGATTCCTGAAGGTGTTTCTGGAAGCATCTGGAAGCAGCTGATAAAGCTCAGGGCACATCCTTCAGGCTGAATCTTACCAGGAAAAGAGTGATGTATCTGGCATAGAAATCAAAGTACAATCAACTTCTACCCTGTAGAGCTTCCTGTATCACACTCTTTGGCTAGAACCCCGCTGGCGATTTCTACTGACTACTAAAGCATGTGCTACAAAGATGGCCTCCCAGAACTGACCCCTGGGGGGAACTGAAGCCAATGTGGAAGGATATTTGAAAGGTACTTACTGCTGGTTGAGGACAAGTGGCTGTAGTCAGACCTGAAATAAAAGATGGTAGTGTCAGAAGGATTATACATCATTTTTTCTTTATTCAAATGATTCAGTCAAGCTATAAGTTTAGTGAGTGGTGAGTTGCATTTAATGCATAAAGAAATAGTACCAACTAAAAACTATAGTGTGAAGGCTTGTTTTATGTTTGTTTGTTTATGTTTTTGTTTGAATTGCAACAGCAAAAATTTCCAAGGCATTGTAGAATGGGCATCCTTCACATGGGTCTGTGAATCCTGCTGGGAAGCTGGTAAATGTGCTAGTAAAGTGTCCAATGATTATTCACTTTTTTGAGGAGAAAGGGCCAAGAATTCAATGATATCTCGACTCCCTAGAAGGTTTAAACCCAAGCCAATGAGAATCCTTCAAGTTTCACAGGGCACTTGGGGAAAGTTTCCTGCTGATACAGCTGAAGATCCCAGTCTGTGGGGGGGTGGGAGTGGGGGAGACCCTGGGTCCTTTAATGCATCCCCATGTCAGGTACAGCTGATCAGCGGGACCTAAAGGCACTAGCCTCTTCCCTTGCCTTCAGTTCTACTATGAAGAAATCCTGCTGGGCTTAAGAGTAACAAGATATGGGCTGTGATGGGCAACATAGAGAGGGCTCCCGTGAAATGACCCCATGTGGATTTTAGGCTGAAGTCAGCTGTTGGCACTCAACTGCTCTGATACTCTGGGCCAAGGACCTGCCCAGCATAATCTCTGCTAAGTTCCTGCCCTCTGAGCCTGGCCATTAAGACTTCCCCTCTGGCAGAGTTTGGTGTAGAAGTGATTTATTTTCTCCCCCTGGGTCTCCAAAGTCATTCTCGGCAGGAAATTAATCACTTAGGCATGTAGGGATTTATTCCGCTCTGGTAGTTAGGGAATGCAGTTATGCAAATAAACTGCTTAATTACGTTTAATTTTTATAGATATACACTCCTTAGACTCAAGTTGCCTTTCTTGAATCATCCAATTTTCACTCCATTGAGCTCCTTACCACATTAAAAAGTACATTCAGAACAAAACAAAACAAACAACAACAAAAACCCCACAAGTGTCTCATATTAGCTAAAACAATCTATAGCACACAGAGCAAATGATACTTTGATGTACTGGTAGAGGAACAAAATGGAAGAAAACCAGCAGGTGGTTTTCTCTTTCCCAAATGAAATATGTTAGTAGCCTTAGAACTCTTTAATTTTAAAACTGGGAAGAGAAACAATCACCATATCCCTTTGCATATCCCATTATAGATTAGAAGCTTCATTTGCATCCATCTAACTCAATTTTTTATTTTTACTAGTTGAGAAGCAAAAGTGATACCATTGGAAAGGACCAGGAGGTGAGGAATGGTAAGGGTTTTCACTCAGTACACAGGATGGGCATCCAGGAAGGAGCTAGAAAGTAGGATGGGCTGGCCAGGGAGTGGTACCCCCGCCAGCTGGCAGAGAAGAAAGCATCAAGCATCAGTAACATTCTGAAGCCCAGGATTTCAGCACCCAACCCTGGCACATAAAATTCTTTCTGGAACCAGACCAAGGATAACTAAACTTTGGTTCAACACTTAGAAATGTAACTATATAAATGCCCAACAAACATCCACTGTGGTGAATGTAACAGCAACACGATTCCATTACAATATGATCATCTTAAAATGGCCAGACTTTCAAGAGATTACCCAACCATCCAAATAAAACATATAATAAGAATGTGTAATGTTACTATTTCTCTTAGGTTAAAAATGTGTAAGTCTTTTCAGCTAGGACTTTCCAAATCCTCCAGAAGCAGATGGGATTCACACATGCAGGCATTTGAAAGCTCCGCATAAGATGGATATGTACGCAGAATGAAATGTACACTGGAAACATAGTTTAAAAATCTTGAAGTGCAATGTAGTATTTTAGGGTAGGTGCTAACATAATTAATGCTTTTCTACCAGTTTCTCTCCCCACCCCCCAATCCAAATCCCCTAAACCTCTTGAGATTAAAGGCACTGCCTGCTTGGTCCTTCCAAATGATCAGTCTTCAAAAGTCACTCCAGTCTCCTCTGAATTCCTTTTCTATTCAGCATCCAATCTTGACAAAGCACAAATCTGATTATGTGTCCCTCTGGATGAAATTCAAGCTTGCTAGCTAAAACACAAACTCCTCTCTTGATGACTGATATCTATGGCCTGCTCTGCAGCCCAACCTCCAGCCTTGTTTGACACAGAGACAGAACTCCAACAGAAAGATGAGTCACCCGCACATTGTCCCCAGCATCTGGTCCTGAGTTATGTAATTTGCACACAGTTGCCATAATGACAAGAGATCTAATTCCTAACTGTTCTTTTCATGGTACACCATTTCAATGTGTGGCTCAAGAAATTGATAATTATATGAAGTGATGTGCCACGATTCATTCAACCACTTCCATTGTGTGCACGGTATGAGTGTTCCTGATTGCTCACTGTTACAAAGTGCATGGGAATGAGATAGTTGCACATACAGTTTTACATCTGCTTTCTTGTCCTTAAAATTACCGGGAGTGATAATACAGGATGAAGAGAAATATGCCACTTTTATACTTCTTAAAAATATTCCAAACAAGCCGGCAGCGAGCTCACTCTTAGCTACTCAGGACGCTGAGGATTGTAGTTTGAAGCCAGCCTGGAAGGAAATGCCATGACACTATCTCCAATAATAATAATTTAAAAAACACAAAAAAACTACTCAATTAAGGTAAAATGGTTTGTGGTTCCTTGGAAATGCCACACTCTTTGTATTCTCCATCACAGTGTAGCTCAGTGTAGTTCAGAGGTCTCTGTGTTCACACTTTAAAACCAGCTAAATGACCTCATCTTTCAAGCTTGAATTTAGTTTTATTTTTAATTTTATTTTATACAGTGTGTAGCTAATTCCCTGTTCTCTACATTTAGATGTATACACAACAACAAAAAGACCTACCCAGGAAAATCCAGAAGTGGTTCTATAGTTCAAAGTGGTAGAGTACTAGCTGCGAAAGAAGTTCAAGGACAGTGTCTAGGCCCTGATTCAAGCCCCAAGACTAGCGCATATATATATATATATATATGTATATATATATATACACACACACATATATATATGTATATATATGTATATATATATATGTGTGTGTATATATATATATACACACACACACACACACACACACACACATATGTATATTCTAAACAATCACCAAAGATTATCTACTGAAAACATTACCAGTGATAGACAAACTGTGAAGTTTTAAACAATTGTGTCTGCGCAAATACCTTTAAGAACCATTAGCTACTTCAGAGAACAATCAGATATTGATCAGGGTTTTCTGAGGGAGTTTGTATTCATAGCCTTTTTAGGGTCACAAGAAATAGTAGCTGGGTACCTGCCTCATGATTTCTACTTATTGGCCTTGTCTCATATAAATTTACCTGGTGGGCTCTTCATATGACATTCAAGCCTGCCAAAATAAAGCATAAATGGAAAGGTAAATTTATTAATTTTTTAATTGCAAGAACCTTTTAATTAAGCATGCAGATGAGCAGTATAAGGATTTTCTATTCTCACTCATCTGGCACACACAAAGACACATTTGCAAATATTGTATTTATTTAATATTTATGTCAATAGCCAAAAGTTAGATGTAGCCCTTTGATTATATTTTTTATATTATATATAAAGTCATTCTGTAAATAGAACTGTTAACCCCTTTTAGTGGTTACTGTCTTGCCAATTTATACATACACTCGTTATATAAACTGAAAGTCTTTTGAAATTCTCTTTTCTGGGAACTGTCGCACTTATGTCAAATTGATGTTAATGTTTCTGCATCAGCCCTGATCTGTCAACTCCGGGAATTCAGGGTGCACTGGCTCCACATTGAGAATGAGTTAAATACAGTGCCAGTAGAACATCTTAACTTAAGACTTCCGGATCCCTGCACCACACCCCCTAGTCTCCCCTCCCCCCCCCCCCCCAGCCCTTCTTTTTGTTTCTTTTTCTTGTTGGTTGTCCTGGTGCTCTACCACTTTGAGCCACAGCGCCACTACAGGTTTTCTGGTGGTTAGTTGGAGAGAAGAGTCTCACAGACTATTCTGCCCAGGCTGGCTTTGAATTGCGATCCTTAGCTCTCAGTCTCCTGAGTAGTGACTGGATCCCACTTTCTTTTTCAACTTTACAAAACTGTCCCTTTAAAATCCATTCCTCCTGTTCGCTCTCATCCCCTAGCTTAAACTCTCGGCCCATAATTTTTTTTTCCATCTTTGAAGTCACAGAGAAGTACTGGTTTAAGGCTACCCAAGGTCTCAAGAAATGGCCTGACCCCGCTATGAGTTGGGAGCTCTGTGGCAGTTGACACAGGAAGCAGTCCATGAATGAGGGCTGAGACACTGAGGAAGTCATTCCGTCAGGTCTGGTCATGTGGGAAAATGCAGCTGAGAGGCCAAATCTTGGAGAGTCACTAATGAAACAGGCATGGCAAGGTCTTGGCTTTTGTTCAGATTGACAAGGACTTGCCAGCCTTCTAGTAAGGGGTTCTGTTTCTTAAGCTAGGTCACCACTGGCAGCTGCTGACTTGCCAGCTTCTTCCATCTGAAAGCACAGAAAAGCAGGAAGCTTGCCTTCAGTAGATTGGGAAAACGGTAGTTTCAAAATAACACTCACTGTCATCATATAACACTCCCTGATTCTTAGCCTAAGCCAGGCAGCAAAGACAGCGTTTTAAGCGAAATAAATGCCTAAACAGAAAACAAAAGGCAAGTAAGCTGAGAGCTGGCTCACAACTGTAACTAGCAACTCAGCAGACTGAGTTCTGAGGATCACAGCTCATTGTCTGCCTGGGATGACAAATCCAAGAGACTCTTATCTCCAATTAACTAGCAAAAGGCCAGAAATGGAGGTATAGCTCCAAGGGTCAGTGGTAGAGCATCCCTTGAGCAAAAACAAAACAAAACCAACCAACAAACAAAAAAACAAGAGGCCAAAGATTTGAGTTCAAGCCCCAGTACGGCATAGAAAAACAACAAAAGGTAATTAGTACAGAGCAAACAGCTTTGTCTTGGGCATAGGGTTGATGGGAAAGCCACTGGGTAGGATACACGCTGGAGCCTCAGCCTTCAATTCAGGCTACTAAGGAGCCATGTGCCCTGTGAATGTTTTTCCTATCCATAACATAGTAATGAGTATAATAAAGGTTTGCCCTGTGGTGTGCTGTGTAATCTGAATGCTGAGCCAATTATTTAAGGCATCTACCAGGATGAATATAATGAACACATGAGGTTGAGGTCCCTATTTGTACTACATAAAACTCTGTTTATCAAGTCCAGTGCTCTTTCTAACAAGACTAAAGGTCTGATAAGAAATAATAAAAGACAGAAAGTTCATTATGCCAGACACTATTCTAGGAGCTGTAAACACACACCAAATCCTCACAATGACTCTGTGAGAGCGGTACTATCAACATCTCCACCAGAGGGGGAAACTGAGGCCAGAGAGAGGTGCAGTAACCAGCTCACAATTCCTTAGCAGAGGAACTGCAATTTGAATGCAGGCAGGCAGGCAGGCTGGCTTTATAATGTAACTTTCTAGGTGACCAGCATAGCCTGCCCACTGATAGTGAGAGACATGAACTTTTTCAGAACTGCCTCTTGCATCTGACAGATAATAGGATTGGCAATCAGCTTACGCTGCTATTTTGTTTACAATGGTCCCCTCCACCAGTCCTTCGTGATCCTGAGTGCCAACCCCCTCTCTCTGGTTTTCTCTGCCTGATTTGAGATGTTGAACACTACTGTAGGAAAATAATTAGCAAGGTAGACTGATTCCTGCCTCCATAATGCACAGATAATCAATGGTTCCATCTCTTCCAAAAGCTGACACCACACCAGATCATCTATCTTGCCTCTTTCTCCTTTTGCTTTTTTCTTGGTGTAGGTATGCTGAGGTTTAAACACAGGGCTTTATGCTTGCTAGGCAGTTGTTCAAATGCTTGAGATATCTCCTGGCCTTTTTAGTCTGGTTATTTTTGAGATAGGGTCTTGCTCCTAGAGCCATGATTCTTCTGTTTATACTAGGATTCCAGCTTCTCACTGTAGTGGAATTACAAATGAGTGACACTATATCCAGCTATGGGTCCAGAGGAGGTCTCATGAATTTTTTGCCTGTCCTGACCTCAAATTACAATCCTCCCGATTTGTGCCTCCCAAGTAGCTATGATTAATTACAGGTGCATGTGGGCCACCAGCATATGGCCTCTATTCCCTTCTATAGAATCTTTTCTATTAGCAACGATTGTCCAATTAGAGCCTATGTTGAAGAAATTTTCCCCACTTCATTCTATCCTCTAACTAATGCCTTTCTGGGCTCCTTTCTTTTCCAGACAAATAATTCTGTTACTTCTCCCTCATTTTCTATGCTCTTCTGAGGCCATTCTAACTCTTCTACCTCCACCATCCCACTGACAGATATTCCATTGTCTCCAGTAATAAAATGGCAGTTCACAGCAAGACCTTATCTCAAAAACAAAAACCAAAACAACAAAAGAAAACAAAAAACCAATCTGAATGTGATGGTACACTCCGGTAACCCCGGCTAAACGAGAGGAAGACTAGGAAGATTATAGTACTAAGCTTGCCTGTGAAAAAAGTGAGAAACTCTATCTGAAAAATAAACTACAAATGCAACTTAAAGGACTGGTAGTGTGGCTCAAGGGATAGGTAGAGTGCTTGTGTAACCAATGAAATGTACTTGAATTCAAAGTCCAGTACAAAACAAGCAAAAAAGAAAAGACATTTCCTGTTCCTCATCTTAGTTTCTTAGTTGCACAGCCTGTCTTTCCTTTCTTCCCACTTCTCCTCTCAGCCTTAACCATCCTCCTTGACCTGACATTTAAATGTGATGCTTTCTTAAGGCTGAGTGTGTCAATCAGCCAAGGAAACAGTAGATAGCATAGCACATCCTAAATGTAAAGTGTTCACTAGGAGACTCTATTGATTTCATCTCTCCCAGGGCTTCAGGTGCCTTGATTAGGCAGCTAGTTCCAAAGGCAATGCGGTCATGCAGACCTCCCTCCTCACTGAGTTCCAGACAAAGCCCCACCATTTGCTGACTCACTGACTTCCCTTGGCTATCTCTCCAGACCTCAGATACCTGCTCAAAACTTAACATCGTATACTCTGATTGGGAAGGCACTACAGGTTCCTACTTTGAGATCCCAACAGGAAATAAACTCTCTACTCACAAAAATCCACAAAAAATGATTCCGTGGACCCTAAAGTAAATACCACTGTCTCAGTGGATGGATGTATCATTGAGGTGGACCGTGGAGGAAGGCTAGCTTCACCTGGTGGACAGGCATGCCAGGTAGAAAGGTGCAGAGCTGGCAGAGAGCAGCAGCAAAACCTGCCAGATGTATCCAGTTGTAGGAGGCAAAGAAGCACTTGTGGAGAAATAGCAAGAGAGAGAAAGAAGGAGTCCACAAGTCACATTAACTTCTGGTGCTAGATAGATGACAGTCATAAAAGTGTGCATGGGTGAGAGACATGATCAGATTTATGCTTTAAAAATAGTAACATCTGGCACCAGTGGCTCAAGCTTATAATCCTAGCTACTCAAGGGGTTGAGATCTGAAGATCATGATTCAAAGGTCAGGAAATTCTGTGAGATTCTTACTTCTAATTAGCTTCCAAAAGTGCCAGAATTAGAGCTCAAGTGGTAGAGTGTTGGCCTTGAGCACAAAGCTTAATGACAGTGCCTAGGCCCTGAGTTCAAGCCCTACGACCTGCATGAAATATTAACAACAGTAACAAACATTTACTGAGTGTTTTCTACATGATTTATACTCAACCTCCACAAGATGACATAAGAAATGTGGAACAGAAGCTGAGCACCGGTGGCTCACACTTTTCATTCTAATTACTCAGGAGGCTAAGATCTGAGGATTGAAGTTCAGAGCCAGCTCAGGAAGACAAATCCATGAAACTTTAATCCCTAATTGTCCAGCAAAAAGCAGGACGTCGAGGTTCAAATGGTAGAGTGCCAGCCATTAGCAAAGAAAAACGTAGCAAGAGCCTGAGGCCCTGAGTTCAAACCCCACTAAGTGGAATAGAGGAAGGAGGGGCAGAAAGAACTCTCGAGGAGTAAATAAATGATGAACAGCTTTTCTGAAAATTAAAACTTGAAGGATGTAATGAGCATACAGTGTAATTATTTTATTTAAAGGCATGCCATGTTTAACCTCTATTTTTAGCTTATGAGTGCTAGTGATGTAATAAGTCTTCACAAAACTCTTATCAAAGCTACACAGTGTAGGGACATGCAGCAGACAACCCGCTCCCCCCCCCCCCCCCCCCAGCAATGGCAACTGTCACCCTGATGCCTGGTTGCCTGGGGATGATGTCATCCTGGAGGTCAGGGCTGCCCCTCCCTTCTCCAAGGCAGAGCCCTTGAGAACCCCAGTTTTAGGAGAGCTCTTCAAGTTGAAGATGAATGGACTAGTGAACCCTCTATTTAACCAACTATTTTTTTTAAAAAAATGGTTAATTTGGCTTTGTTGCTTCTGTTTATTGTTCATAGCCCAGCTGACCCGAGTGGAGGGTGGGAGAGGAAAAAGCAAAGTTCTTACATTAAAGTTAACAAATGCTGGAGGTGTGTGTAGCTCAGTTGCCAGGGTGTTTGTCTGGCATGCGTGGCACCTCGGGTTCTATCCTCAGCAGCATTAAAAAATAAATTGATAAGTGTCACATATATAAAGTGCATGAAAAAGCAAAAGAAAGAAACATAATCCCATAGTACGAGAGGTAACCGCATCATGCATAAGTCAAAATTTGGAGACCAGAGAAAACCACTGAGGGGTGAACTGAAGTGTCACATGCGGGGTGGTTGTGATGGCTGCAAGGAAGGGCCAGTTTGGAAGGCAAGACGGGCTGCCGCCTTTCTGCAGGTCAGGTCAGAACCCTGGATCTATTCTGGGCCTGGACTGTTTTCCTGCCTCTTTACAAGGGAGCCCAAACCCAGAGATTAGCTTCAAACCTCCGAGGCCTCGCAGGCGTGGGGTTTTCTGTATCCTGGGCAGCTCCTGCTTCTCCTGCAGGGTGGACAGGAAAAGCCACCCCTTCCTCCGGCGCAGCCGGCCGAGGTGCTGATTCTGCACCGGAAAATCCGTTAGCGATAGGGGCTGGGTGGAAGCGTGTGCAAGGACATTCATCTCTGTCAGGACACCCGGTCTTTTGTCCCACTCAGGAAAACCATGTTGTTAGCGAAGGACTAATTAGTCTCCATAGGTTTGCGCTAATTGTTTAAGTGTACCGAAGCGCACCGGGCATGGCAACCTCTTTACATACACAGGGCCAGATCACACCCAGCAGGTGCCCAAGCGAGGCGGGTCGGGGCGGGACAGGTGAGCGCCAGAGGCCGGGAAGTTGGGCGGGAGCTGGCCGGGGAGCCAAGACGGCTCGGCAGCGTGGATCAAGTCCCACCACGAAGCCGGGACGTGGCCGGAGCCGACTCTTCTCTGACTTCCAGAGACTCCCGGGTGTGGGACGTGCCTCCCTCCGGCCCGCTCTCACCTCCCGGGAAGGGCTCCCGGAGAGACCCGGGGGAGGCCGGGGCAGGTGCAAGCGCATCTCTAGTCTCAGAGTGATACCGAGGGGCACCGCCTGGGCCCGGCACTCGCACGAGGACGGAGGACAACAGGAGCCGCTGGGACCACGCGGAATCCCGGTGCCAACCCTCCTCCTCGCGAGGCGGGCATCCCTCCCATCTTTAGCCCCGGAACACGGGGATGTGCTCCGAGGCTGGTCGGGAGGGAGCCGCTCCCCAGCATCGGGGAGCCCCCCCCCACCCCCGCGCCCCGATCCCAGCACAGCGGCTTCGCTCTAGGACTCGGAGGGAGTCCCCGCCCGTCGCCCAGCCCCGCACTGCCGGGCCCCGCGCCTCACCCTCCGGTCTCGGCGCCCGAGTCCACGCAGTCGTCCTCCTCGCCGCCGCCGCCGCCACCCGCCTTCGGGTCCATGACGCGCGTCCCGGCCGCGCTCCGCTCACTCCGGACCGCCTGGCCCGGCCCTGCCCGGCTCTGCCTGGCTCCAGCTCCAGCCCGCCGGGCTCCGGCCCCGGCGCCTCGCAGCCGCGGATCCCGCAAACAACTCGGGCGCTCGCGGCCCGCCCCCTTAGCTGAGCCGCGCCGCGCCGCGCCGCGCCCTCTCCTGGCCGCGCCCCTTGCCGCTCCAGGAGTGCGCGTGTGCACGGGGTGCGCGTGTGCACGGGGTGCGCGTGTGCACGGGGTGCGCGTGTGCACGCGGCTGTGGGCAAGCACAGCGCCGGCGGAGTGCACGGCGGAGGTGGGGGGGGGGGGGCGCATGGGCTCGAGCTTGTGTGCACGAACGCATGCGCGCGCCCTCGTAGTTCGCCGGATTGTACACGTGGGAGGACGCAAGTATATATATGCACTTCGGTGGTGGATTTTCATTTGCACACACACGCGTGTGCGTTCGCATGCAAAAGTTGCCCCTTTCCCCTGGACCCCACAGCAGGGATCACCCTGAGGGGTTTCCAGTCCTAGGAAAAACCCCACTCACACACCGGCAACCCGAGAGGGACAGTTTTGCTGGGGGCGAGGGCGGACCGGTGGGAACACCTGGGTGTTTTCTGGTAGTTTCCTCAGAATTGCCAGCGCTGAATACATTATCACACTGGAAGGCGTTTGCACTGCTCCTGCCAGCTTGCATTGTTCTGTTATTTTTTAAAAATACCTTTAAAAATGAAGTAGCCTCAGGGTGGGTTAGTGCTCATTATTGGGGAGGGTCTCCTAGTAGAGTGGCAGAGTGGCAGGGGCCAATGAGAGAGGGGAGGGAGGGGATCTGAACACCTGGCATTGAATTCTGGCAGTCCAAATGATTGGAAATCACTTGTTTTTAGTTCCTTCTCACTTTATTTCTAGGGGGACACTGTTTTGGGGCATGGAATCCAGGGCTTTAGGTGTGCTAGGCAAGCACTCTACTACTGAGCTCCATCCCAGCCACTTTCTTCTCTTATAAGGCAAGTTCTTTGGGTCTTGATTTCCTCGTTTATAAGATAGGGCTATTGTGATCTACTTGGTATCTCTGTGGAGAGTTAAGTATGATCTTGTTCTGTAAAATATTTAGCATGGATCCTGACATACTCCAAGCACTCATCATGGACACCTGCCATTACAAACGAAGCCTCAGCTACCTGTATTCTCCTTGTCATTTTGCAAAAGTGCCACCCTCTAGGTGGCTAGTGAGACCATGAAGTGGAATTGTTTCATTCCTCTCTCCCTTTTCGCCTTCCCTCCTGCTCTTCCTTTTTACTTGTCTGCCCCAATATCACCCCTTTTGAACTCATCTCCAATACATTACACAAAAGGGAAATCTAGTTAACAAAACAGAAAATGCAATCCATCATTAGGAAAAAAAAAAACCCATTGGTGAATGTACAACTTCAAATCTAAACAGAATTTGCAGAGCCCTAAATTGCTTGCACCCAAACTAGCATATATGATTGGTGCCCATAAACAGAAAGTAGACATGCTTCCCCATATTATATGCTTTTGTTTTGTTTTTGGTCAGTTGTGGGGCTTGAACTCTGGGCTTGGGCACTGTCCGTGTGCTCTTCAGCTCAAGGCAAGCACTCTACCACTTGAGCCACAGCACCACTTCCGGTTTTCTAGTGGTTTATTGGAGATAAGAGTCTCACGGACTTTCCTGCGCCAGGCTGGCTTTGAACCATGATCCTCAGATCTCAGCCTCATGAGTAGCTACGATTATAGGTATGAGCCACCGGCATCCAGCTTATGCTTTGATTTTTAGAATGTCCCTCAGTAGGCTTGGTTACTTACCAAGTTGGTTGGCTTTTGAGAGGTGATTGGATTTTGAGGGCTCTAACCTGATCAGGGCACTAAGCTCTAACTGAATGGATGATTAGAAGTAGGTCTTGGTTGAGGAAATAAGTACTGGAGGCTTGTCTTTGAAAAAAATACATCTTGCCCCCACACCCTTCCTCTCTGTCTCTACCTCCTGTCTGCCATGAGATGAGTAGAGTTGCTCCACCAGATCCTCTCCACTATGATGTTCTGCCTCACTGCAGGTCTAAAAATATGGAGCCAAGCAAATGTACATCTGAAATTATGAATCCCAAACAACTCTCTTCCTTTTAAATGAGTTTTGCCAGGTATGTTGTTACAATGATGCAAATTGATTAACACAGAAAACTGGTACCAACAAGAGGGGCCATTGTTATGACAATAACTGACCATGAGATGCAGAAGCCTTTGAAACTAATTTGTTTTATTGTGCTGGTACTGGGGCCTCATGCTTTTATGTTGAAAGCTGGTGCCCTACCACCTGTCACATCTCCGTGTCATTTTTGCTGATTATCTGGAGATAAGAGTCTCATAGACTTTTCTCCTGGGGATAGGAGTTGATTTTTGAACCGTGATCCTCAGATCTCAGCCTCCTGAGATCTAGCTAGTAGTTAGTGTAATAGGCATGAATCACCAGTACCTAGTCTTTGGAACTAATTTGATGTGAGAATTTGGAAGAGTTTGGAGAAGCAGGCTAGAAAAAAGCTTAGAAAGCTGTATATGGAACTTCAGGGGTGATTCAAGTGGGAGCACAGATGACCAAACTACCAATAGGAATGTGGACAGTGAAGACCAGGCTCTTGAGGTCTCTGTTGGGAATTTTACTAGAAGCCATATTGTGCTACATTCTTAGAGAAAAAAAATGTACATTTTGTCCATGATCTGAGACTTTGTGAGAATTTGAATTTTACAAGTGATGAGTTTGTTGAGATAAATCCTTCCTCTCTTAATTTGTTTGTCTCAGGTATTTTTGTCACAGTGAGAAGATAACTAACGTGCCTTGATTCCTAGAAGAAAACCCTCAAATGGTCAAGAAACATTGTGGGTGAGGTGTGGTAAGGTGTCATTCATACAGTTTTATGTATTTCATTGGAAAACTGTTTACTAAACAGGTGATGATCTCAGCATATACAAATGAGGGAAAATAGCAACAGAGGATCCCTGCCCTCTGAGAGTCTGTAATCCAGAGGGAGTGACTTAAGACTAGTATATTTTGAGAAAGAAAGAATTTAAGAATTTGAATTGGAATGTCAGGGAAAGGGATACTTGCGTCTTCTACTTCAGAGTTTTTGTACTCTGTTTCTTCTCCCTGAAACATTTTCTTCAAGATTTGCTAGATTTCCTTCACATTTTCTTCAAGATGCTGTTCAGATAACTCATCATCAGAGAGACTTTCTCAATGAATCCCATGTAATAGCATTCAGATCTACTTTTTATTTTGGTTTCATTAGTGCCTGGTGGATGTTAGTTTTATTTCCTAATTGTCTGTTCTTTCCTTCTTACCTCTATCCTGGCTCCAAAAGGATGAGTGCTCTGTTCACTACTGTACCCTCAGCACCTAGAGCAGCCTTCAGATGGCAGTAAGTGAATGGGAAGCAGCCCCTGTGTGAGAGTGGGGCTGGGGAGGAGGAGGGCACTCTAGGTAGAGAGATAGTCAGGTGTATGGTTGTGCTGGGCACTGATCATTCAATTAGAGGTAGAAAGAAGCAATCTGGGTGACAAGCTGAGCATTTGACACAAATGTGAGGTCTCCAGGAAGCCCTCAGGAGATCATAGGTTAATTGGAAAATAGAAAGACAAATGCAACACCAATTAATGCAGATTAAACGAATGGGAAAAACGGTCAAAAGTTAAATATAATGAGCACTCTGTCTTATTGTCCTCTCAGCCATGGGGAAGCCTTCCTTCCATTATTCTTTGTCTATCCTATTCTTCCTATATGTACCTCATTTAATCCTTGGCAAAGTCCTGTGAAGTGGACTTACTCTCAATTTTATAGTTGCATCAGCATCTGAGGATAGTGTTAGCAGAGCACTGACGTTTATGGCAGGAAATATGACAGGCCTATAAATATGACCCATGAATTCTAGAGCTTGACCTTTATATTTAAATGTAAGGACTGTGCTAGGGATTTTTCATATCTTTAATTCTTATAAAATCCTTGTGAGGCTTCCATTGCCTTTAAAAGGGGTGGGGAGGCTGTTGATCTAAATCTCACAGGAAACTCCAAACACTAAAAACTACAAAGCTTTAATCTGAGTGTGATGGCACACATCTGTAATCCCAGCATCTGGAAAAATAAGGTAGAAGACAGGCTAGGCTAGGGTTATACAGAGACATGTTATCTGAAAAAACAAATAAGCCCTCCAAGTAAAACACACACACACACACACACACACACACACACACACACACACAGAGCTATGTGTGAAGCCTGGCAATATACAAAATGTCACTGGGTTTTTATTTGACTTTTTTCAGAATTCTGTGAGCATTACTCTCATGTTTTATTTACCTACTCCGCTTTAGAAAACAAGATCCTTCATTTGTATATTTTGAGTACCAGGCAATGACTGGTGCCAGGAATTTACTGTGCAGCAACCAAAGGTGGGTCCAGGCATAATGAGGTTTCTGTGGTCAGGAGAAGGCATTTCTCATGGTCCGTGGTCTGCGAGCAAAGCTAGCCTTCCTTCTTCCTTACACAACTCCTTGTAGCCCTTGTACACCTGAGAGGTCCACAGTGGACCAGAATATAAAGCCCTCTATTCCAGGAAGATCAAAAGAATCTGGGGGTAAATAAAGCAAGTCACTTTTGCTGATGCATATAAGAGATGAGTAATCAAAATGGCCCAGGAGTAACTGGGAGGGGCTAAAGTTTTAAATAACATAAGGTAGCTGGGAAGGTGGCTCTGTGGTAGAGCACTTGCCTTGCATGCATGAGGCCCTGGGTTCGATTCCTCAGCACCACATAAGCAGGAAAAAAAAGCCGGAAGTGGCACTGTGGCTCAAGTGGTAGAGCACTAGCCTTGAGCTGAAGAGCTGAGGGACAGCGCCGAGGCCCAGAGTTCAGGCCCATGACTGGACCCCCCCCCCAAAATAACATAAGGTAATACATAGCTTTAAGATAACAACTTTAAATCAAGAGACTGAAACTGACATAAAAATTTCCAGTATCAGCTAGGTACCAGTGGCTCATGCCTACAATCCTAGCTACTCAGGAAGCTGAGTTCAAAGCC